TACATTTCTTTTTCGTTTAGAACGTGAGATACTTTTTTATTACAGACATGTTATTGATTCTTGTTGTAAATAAAATTCAGTGTATATAAGCATATCTAATCTTAACCATCTTACTTCATTAATTCCAACTGGTTTAGTAAATTATCTCTTACAGTCAGTTAGTGATAAGTACCGTTGAACCTCACATACATGTGCATTGATACAAGTTCCCATATCATATCAGTAAAGTGAGACAAAATCATCAAGAAAAATACCAGAATTGTAGAGTTGGTGAGATCAGTGTTAGTAAAAAGCGTTAGATGTAGCCTATATGACTCGTGAGGAAGGAATGAGTTCGTGGTATAAAAAATATGCGAACACATTGGGACTCAGAATCTGAGGCACGATAGAGAACGAGCGAGAACGATTCTGAGCTATGTCACCTCGTTTCCAGCCACTGGTTGCGCAAAATATTGACACCAGCCAGGTGGACTGAATTTTCTAACACAGTTTCATTATATGGTTGTGGACAGGCATTTGAAATCTTGAAAACTCCTAGCAGGTGTTATCTATCAGATACTGACCATCCACTCCATTTATATCTTTCCGCTTGTATATTTTTTCTGGTAGACGAGACGTCAAAGCATTAGAATGCATGCACTCAAGCAAAGGTATAAAAGCTTTATAGCAACTTATTTGGTAAATATACTATGTGATAGACAGGTTGTCAGAGCTGACTTAGTCAATAACTCGTATTCTTAAACAGGTTTATAATTAAAAAGCTTTACAGATTCAAATCTTCTTAAAAACCATTTCATTCAGTTATCGTCTTTCGTTTTGTAAAAGAAACATTGAAATACTTTGTGTTGAGAATTCTATATTGTAACAGACATATTGAATAAAGGCATTAATAATAATAATAATAATAATAAGTAATAATAGCTTAGTTTAACAATCGATGACTTCATAGACTAATCCCACATCTTAGTTTGGGCGCTCCAAGCTTTTTTCCAACCTAATCTTACACCAGGAAACATTGAGCGAGGTAGAGGGTGGTAAAATAAAGGTCTTTTTAAAACAGAATAGTGAGAAGTATTTTAGCTGATATCAGTGTGATGAAAATTACCCTTAAATAATGCCTAGAAAGTAATTTCTAAAAAACCACATGAATAATTAATAGTTATGTACTCACATTGATCACCAAGTGACTTGATAACGAATTTCCTAGAATTTAAATAGAAAACTGTGATCACTTATTAGACTAAGTTAAAAGTGCGGTAGTAAATTATTGATGATAACTGACTAAGAGATAGTGGTGAAATGAAATAAAAATTACTATTCATTTGAACAACAACTATTCAGTAAAAAAAACTCTGGTTCAATCTCATTTAAAAACAATCAGTAAGTCTCCTAAGAGGGAAAGTTCTGAAAGCGTAAATGATGATTATATAATATCATTGTTGAGATATTTAAACTGATGAGAACAATATTGCACTATAAGTCTTTGGAAATACATTTTGAACCAAAAAACTTTGTTAATTTGAATAAATAAGTACGAAATAAGTGACTAGTTAATTTAATAATATAAATTAATTGATTAATACTGCGCACAATTCAATCTTCAACTTCCAGAAATGATCGTTGAACTTTTATTTAAACTTTAATGTACTAATTTCACTGAAATTAACCTGTTGAGTGCGTAATAATTTGTCTTGGTTCAACAGACATATGAACTAAATTACAGAAAGATTTTTCTGTGCTTTAAGATATGTCTTTGCTGAAATCTGTAATTTTCCTAAAAGACCTGATTACATGTCACATTGCACTATACTGGCTATGTCTTTAGGCAGCAGCTTTCATGTTTTGGAAATTTTTAGGATAGAACGATTAAGTACGATCCTATTCATAGGTCAAAAGTCAACTGTCCTATCTAACTAGTCAGTCACAACGTGTAACCTGTACGAATGTAAATCGTTTCAAGTTAACATAACAGGCTAGCACATGGAGATGGAATTGTCAGGCCAAATCCCAGAATAGTAGAAGTGGTAACGAAATCACTAGTAATATGAAAGCTTAGGCATCGAAGGTACGACTCAAGAAGAAAATATAAGTTAGCAAAATAAATTCAAAAATAGTTATGAGGAATCTAGAATGTGGGGGAAGACAAAGAATGGATGCCTTGCGCTAATGCAAACGAATCTTAGTCATGCCATGTAATGTCTAACAACCGTTTACGAAAATCACGTGGACTTCAGCCAAGTAGCCTACACCTATTAACATGGCTCAGTCCAATTGCCAGTGACCTCCTGGACTGATGGCATATTTTGGCTCAGTCGCTCCTAGCTCTCTTGCAGCCTACTCCTATACCAGAAAACATATCCCACTGAAATAGGCGATGGTTGGGCATACGTATCAAATGTCCCGAACACCTCAGTTGATGAAGACTTACAACTTCATCAATCGATTTACCATCCTTACCTAGTACTCTATTCTTAACTCAGTCACTGGTTACTCTGTAGTCCCAAAATGCACAAGCAGTAGTCCGAGAACACCTATGACCGAATACCAGTATCCCACGAATATCCACTGTTCTTAACGGCCATCTTTCAAATCCATAGAGTAGGACGGATTGAACTACTGCCGCAGCAAAATAGTCCTTTGGTTGGTAGACGGATATCTCGCCTACGCCACAAGTGACGCAAGTTTGTAAAAGCCAACCAGGCCTTCTGCATATGTCTAGATTTCATCACACCAGACCAACAAGACTGATGAGACTCGAGGTAAGTGAAGTGGCCTATACATTCAACTAATTCACTAACTATCACTAGTTCAGACGATGGCGCAAGCCAATCTTAAAGAAACATTTTACATTTAGAGGGAGAAAACCGTATCCTAAACATGCTTGGATATTTCTTTAAGGTGGTCAGAAGACTGGATTTTGTCAGCGTCTTCTCCAAACAGAAATGTATCATCTGCGTATCTTAAGTCAACAATTGAATCTCCTGGTAGATCAACTTCTGAAAAGTCAGTTCTGAACATCACCTGTTTTTGTGCTTGTGTGCGTTTGAATGCATTAATTATGCTATGAGCTATAGCACACCATATATTGAATTTACATTTTATGGGTAATTTTTCCAAAAACATTGAAATCTCTTAACAACTGACGAAAATTTCGGGATTACAAAATAAAGTTTACAAATGAAAACAATTCTACAAAAATGTCACAGTCCGCGACCAAAATCAATGTTTGAGTTTCACACCACAACATAATTAATGAGAAACTGGTTAGTAAGTTCGAGGATAATATTTCGGGTCTTTAAGGTTCATAGAGAGAGACAACTGATTTTTTGTGCCATAAAAAGCGGCTAACCCAGTAGACTGAAAGCGATTACAAAATTATAATCGCAGAAGAAACAAGCAAACTTCAACAAATTGAGAGTATCAAAATGAATTAACGAAAAAAAGAGAAGTTTGACACATGATTCATAAGTATGACGGGAATTACCTCCAAAGAGAGATAAACATTAAAACACAAGTATATGAAGGGGTTTTTTCAGAGATAAATACGTCAATTTGACGAACTTGGCTTTCTAAGCGGGCCTAGCTAAAGACGACAATCGTTGGGCTGAAATCACAGCTTTCGGAAAAAACAAGCATAGACTAAAACTCATTCGGATAATAAACTGTTCCTCACTAGTCAACAAATAGTGAATACGCGTGCAGAAAGCTAAGCGGACAATATTTATTTTTCTGTATTCAATCTTGTTCATTGAAACGTGTACAGACGAAATTCCTAGGTTATATCTCCAATACTTCTCAAGACCAGTCCAAATAAAAGATGTATAGTATGCCAGTTGTAAGCAGCAGAGACCAAATTGGTTGTTCACATGATAACAGAACAAACAAACATGATGATTATGGTTTATTCACTAGGTTGTTATGTAATAAACTACCAATAACAACAACAGGTAGTATTGATGTAAATTGTATAAAAGAAAAACGAATAATAATTTTTTAAAAAGCAGGGGAAAAAACGGTAGAATACTTTAAACTATCCAAACCATGACATCCATTTTGTCATAGAGGGATTCAGCGAAAAAATCTTAAATCAATGGGACAACATGAGAGTATAATACCAAACAAAATAATTTTGATTGAAACTTAAAAGCTAGTAAATTATAGTCCAACTCCAGTGAATTATTGATGATATATATATATATATATATATATATATATATATATATATACTATGTACGTATAAATACGATATTTCTAACCACATCATTTTATTTATTAATGACCAGCAAAGTAGAATAGTTAATTAAGCATCTAATATTAATCACCATCCAGTGTATAACTACTCATTTCAAGTATGACTACAAACAATAACACCATACATTCTACTCTTATTATGATGGCTAATAGTACTAACTAATTGTATTGATTGAAATATGGGAATGGATCAAACGTCATCGAATTCATAGCTGCAATATTTACGCTTCCAAATGAACTAAATGAATAAATGAAAACAAACAAACAGTAAAAATAACAAATGCAAAGAACTTTATCACCATTATCATAGAGAACATCAAAATGAACAACCTAGAGAAATTATCAAATATTAATTGTTTCTTCTGTTTTATTTCATATATTAATCCACATAAAAATAGGAAAAAAACAAGGAAAAAACGACATACGAGAGTAAAGGAAGGAGAGATCAGAAATAAATTGTAATATTCTATCAAATAAGAAGTAATAATAGTTGTCATAGTAGTCTTAATAACGATAATATCTGGGTAATACACATACATAATTACATAAAGGCATACAGACAAAGACATACGGATAGACAGACAAAGATGTACACTAAAAACAGATTAAAACACATTACACAATTTGTCAATGCACATGTATTAATTGATTAATATGTGGTCTCGATGATTTGAGTTTTGTAAAAGAGTCAAAAACAGATGAACAAGTGAGCAAGAAAGAGAATAAAACAATGTTATATGATCTCTTGTTTTATATGTGCATGAATTAAATAAATAAATATCATTTATTTTGGTTTACACTGACTATCACCAATTAACAGCAATGGTGTACGTATGAAAATGAATATGTGTAGTGATAACTGATCCCAGGCACAATTCGGAGATTAATCAATAATCGATTCATGAAGAAATATCCAATTAAAACAATGATGTTTCATTGTTTTCAAAATGATGTTGAGATGAAGAGGGATACGAAGAGAAAGAGGGGGTATACGAAGGAGAAGTTGGCAACGACAATGGAGGTGATCGTAATTTCTCAAAACCTTTGGATTTTATTCTATTAGAATTAAAAGACGGTGGCGTTCCACTATTTACTTCATTCGAACCTATCATATGATCATCAGGCAAAATTGGTTTTCCTTCTCTTGAATGCTCCATCATCACTGGTTCCGATAATAAATGCGATGTGTTATCCATCACAAGATGATGAGATGAATGTCCACTTTGTTCAACTTTATTTCTACAGAATACAGAAAAACAAAACAATTAAAACACAAGAAAATGAAGAAATTCATCATATTCGATAACACAAATAGACAAGAGAAGGTAGACGAAGTGGTAATAAATTTTGATATTAAGAAACCATACTGAAGAATATTTTATAGTCATGCTAACCATTGATGTCAATTCACTATCAATTAATTTGAAGATCTCTTAATTGACTGACTCTAAGGTGACAAGTATTGATAATATTCCATCGTAACGAATATTCATGAATAAGTTTAGTAATACGTTTATTATATAGAATCATTAAATTTAAGTCTACACTAAACGGCTCTATCTGGTTCCTAAAATTTCTAATCTATGGCAAAAAGTAATGGTCTTAGAGAATTCTTAAAAAGGAATTGTAGAAATCTGTATAAAGGCTATACACATACATGCGCGTGTTTATATTATCAAAATTTATTAATCCTGTCAAGATTACAAAACTCGGAAATATTTCAAAAAAAGTAGATATCATTCACAAAATTAATTAGTTGATGAGGGTTTAGTGATTGCATAAGCTACCATACTACTGACACCTGAATAGAAAAAAAAACATGGAAATGCTTAGAAGATAAAAAAAAATTCATTATTGATATTTCAAAGCGAAAATAGTACCACAAAGAACCATGTAGATAAAAGGTTCGTTACGTTCTAGTCAAGTAGTGGAATATATTTCACAAAGTATATAAGATATTTATCAAAAGGGAATATATTTTAACTCAATTAGGCACAAATAAAACACAAAACAACTTTTTTTGAAAATTACATACTACACGAAGGAATGGAAAGGCTTCATGAAAACTTATTACTACTGACAATTGTCCGAAGGATTGTTGACATTTAGGAACAACAGTATATTTTTGATGCCGAGGTTCAGCATCGTTGTTATATCGAGAGCTTAGATTCTTAATATACAGCATATAAACTTGAGCACTCAAACGCTAGAACCCTCTAAGTCACAAATAAGACAGAAGATTGGAGAAAGTGCTTGTTGGGCAAGAATCAAAATGTACAGGAAATCATGGGTATTTATAGATATTAGCGTTTGTTACATCAACACTATAATTCAACCAATCTGTTGCTGACCGATAGTAGCATGCCATGTTGATACTCTAGAAAGCTGTATTGCATTCTGATTGGATGGAACTCTGCGGCTCCTCTAGGACGTCTGGAGGCTCCGTCGTAGTTCTCGGAAGCCGTCCCAACAACCGTGTGTTCAGGTGTGGCGACGACCACACAAATGTTGTCACCTTTCGAAACAACAACTTCAGTAGCTTAGATATTATTTGCCGATGATAGGATCAAACGCGAAAATCAGAGGTGGTCAGTTTGTTACATAGTCCCATAGTATGAAACAAATATTTATAAGACTGGCATCTGTCTGTCCATTAATACTTCCTGGTGATGAACGAGAGATGGTATGACTCAGTGACTTACGAGTTCATCAGACATGGGTTAGAACAGAAACTAATGACGATATTGCTGTAGTTTTTACATTGTTCATAACAGTGATATGAATTCCTTCAAAAGAAGAATCTTTCTCTGGTTATTTTTCCTAACTAAACTGTTTTTTCCTACTATTAGCACTTTCGTTCACTTACCTTTATTCATTTATTTGTTTTTAATTAAACTCATTCCCTCTTTTTAGATCTGTTCGCAGGCTAATTTCTTTATTTCTATGACTCATATTTATTTTAGTACCCATTCATAACAATATTTATGTCTTATTATTATTTTATTGTTATTAATGGCTTTATTCAATATTATATTTTGGTACAACATAGAATTCTCAGCACAGGGTATTTCAACAAGTTACTTACGCAACAAAAAAACACAATAACAAATACAAAAAAAATAAAAAAGGTTTTAAAAAAAAACCGAAAAACTGTACAACTTTTCAAATTAGAGACGTGTTAAGAATGCAGGTTATTGATTAGGTTAACTCTGACAACCTGTTCGTCACAGAGCATATTTGCTAGGTAAGGTATCACAGAACTTTTATACTTTTGCTTGCGTGCATGGATTTTAATGTAATTACACATCGTTCAACCAGAAGATATACAAGGAGAAAGATAAGAGTGAAGAGGATGGTTAGTATCTGATAAAATAACACCTGCCAGGAGTTTGCATGACTTTAGATGTCTATCTACAACCATAATAATTATGACCTCGGAAGATTCACCACACATCTTGCTAACTGCCTTCAGCACTCTCCACAATGCAGCAAAGTCTTTTCTCAAAAGTCCGGGAATGAATAATGGAGAATAATAGGTAATATGCAAGAATTGACAAGTTGTAAAAGTAAATGACGAGTAATCCCAAGAGCATGCAATCTCTTTACGTAGTAAGTCAGACGGAAAACCTTCTTCCATAACAATAAAACGTGAGAAGACCAAGAGAGATCAGAGGAAAAGGTACATCTTTATGAGACAGTAGAGACTCTGAACACTTTCCTCCAAACACAGTGTACTGTTCCCTTCCAGAGAGATAGGAACATAGCCAGTTGGTTATCCAGCTGTCAGTGTTGACGCTGATTAACTTGTTAAGTAAAAGTTGTCTCTTTATAGAATCAAAAGCTGAAGTATAGTCCAGAAAAGCACATCGAACATACTTCTTACCCTTTTCTAGGTTGAACACTATGTTGTGATGCAGAACAGCAAAGGCATGTAAGGTGCTTCATTTCCATCTGTAGGCAAACCGATACGGATCAATATGCTCTCTTATCGCAGGCTGAAATGGAAGTATTAATAATTTTTCCATTGTTTTGAGGAAGGGTGAAGTTATTGCAATAGGTCTGAATTTCACATTCTTATCACCAGATTCTTTCTTGAGTACGCGGATTATCTTCATCTTTCTCCACATTTTCGGTATGGCATTAGATGAGAAGGATCGGTTAAAGATAGTCGTGAATGGATAACATAGGACATCAGTACATTTTTTTAAAAAGGATGTTTGGGATACCATCAGGTCCTAAATATCGGGACCAATTAAGTGACTGGAGACGTCTTCGGACATCAGTTTCAGTGGAACGAGGAACACAACTATTCTTTAAACCTGTGGATGAAGGGAGCATTACATCAGATGACTGACGTACAAAAGACTTATTTAAGTCACAAACATTCAGCTGGTTATAGCTTCTAAACTGTCTGTCATCTGTAAGCTCTTTAAAGAGTTTCCACAAATATCAAAACAGAAGTCAAGGTAACAAGTGATAAAATCAGTAGTGATTTGAAGTGAATCATCTGTAAATAATCCACAGTTAGTCGTATGAAACATGTTTTTCACATTTCGGATATTTTATACTGAGTAATTCCTATTTTTGACTTTCTTGGTTTGATGTAAGAGTGTACTCTTCTCATGCTTTCCATATACTTTAGGTAGAACACGAATTATACAGTGATCCGAGCTAGACAATGCAGCACGTTTACGAGTCACATATATACCCACATCATTAATGAAAACGAAGTCTAAATGAGCATCCAAACGAGTAGGAAAATCTACTACATTTTGGCGACCTACTGACGAAAGGAAGCTACAGTCACATGAATTGAAATCACCACATACAACTGGAAGTGAATCACTGAATGCAGTAACAGCGAACTCAGTGAATTCATCAGCGAAAACAGATAGCGCAGATGATGTGCAGTCTAGAGTCACGTAGATATTGGTGACATAAACATATTTGTATTTATTCAGATGTTTTGGACATCATCTTAGAGTTAGACAGTCGATAAAGTCATTTGAAAACTTGAAAAACGCAAACGAAGATCGACACCAGTTCACGTTTACAAACGTAGCTACACCGCCACCACATCTCTTTCTATTGTTTGATCGATCCTGACGATAAATTTTGAAATCATGTAGCGATACTAGGCAGTCATCCTGTAAATCATTTAACCAAGATTCTTGAATAGTGATGACACCACAATTACGATACATATTTTGAATTAGTAGGAATCAAAGATAGTCCACTTTGTTGATTAGTGATCGGCAGTTAGAATTTAGCAGCTCGGGAATCCACACACGACTAATGTTCATTCTCTTTAACACATATTACCAACCACCACGATGTCTTTTATAGTACTTTTTTGTAACTTGTGCAGCGAAAGGTCGTAGGCTTTTCATAAACGCACTTGTATAGGTTATGCGATTAATGGACATAATGAGACGTTAAGACAAAATGAAAAATCAGATTTGTTGAAATAATTAGATGGCAGAAACAGGTAGCAAAGATATTCAAGCAGGCCGCCGTTAATAAAAGTGGCAATGATTTAGTGCTTAGTTATAGCATTCAGTTTCCAACAAGTAGGTCACAGGTTCGAACTCCACTCCCAACCTATATTAATTAAAGCATGCAAACAGTATGCATTACTTTTGCCCACACAAAAACAGTGTGGCTCACAGTTGAATATATAAACATGTACTCGGTAAATATGTAATTCTTAACTTTCATAAAACACAGATTTGTTTAGTTTACCAAATAAATGATTTAACTGAGGTATGATTTACATACTTCAAATAACTATATTATTTGAAATCTGTATCAATAACTTTGAATGACGAAATCTTTGAGATCAAATCATTTGATCTTCATTTATTGTAAAATTATCATATGTAACATTCACAACCAACTTACTTTTGTTCAGAAACGACCCATACTGAAATCGGACAGGAAACGATGAAAGAAATCAGTTAATAATATACATATCAGCAAAATATATAAGTAAATATAAACAAAGATCACAACAACAATGACAGTAACTATAAAGAAGATACACGATCAACTTTATTAATATTCTTTTTTTTTTAAAGATACCACTTCAAAAGAATAATTAGTGAATAATATAAACACAAAAGTTAAATTGATTTGAGGAGGCTGATCAAATAATAATAATAATAATGATAATAATAATAATAATAATAACAATGGTAATAATAATAATAATAACAAGAAGAAGAAGAAGAAGAGGTAGAATCAAGACCACATGTATGCATTCATAATCAGAAAAAAAAGTCATCAATATGTACATATCCCGCGAACAAACAATCATTTTTAATAAGACATTGAAAAGAATCTTAATGACGTCCAAAAATTAACAGAAACAAATCTATAGGGTGAATGCATTTTTTTTATGTATGACACACACATAATTCCCACTATAAATGTGTTGATGTATAACGGCTACAACAAAGAGTCAAGTATATAGAGAAGACACTGAAGTATTTCTTAGTACAAAAATTATCATGCAGTAAAAATATATGAAAGTGTGTAAGCAAACGATATGCACACACAGATATATGAAAAATGAGATTGATGTAACTCAATCATAAATCCTTTATCTAACAAAAAAGATAACTAGGTACAAAGGTTTTAAAAGAGAAATGGAAATAAATGAAATGTTAAGGACTGATTATGGAAACAATATATTGAAAATAGCTGTATCCAAATGGACCAAGAATCCAAATGTTATGACGCTTTTGCTGTTAATGTGTTACGTGACTAAGACAGAGGGTGAATATATCTGCGTCATTTGTAACTGATTTGGGCCATGTTACTACTTATGAACGTTATCGTGTGAAGTCAACCAAGTATTCCTCCTTCTAGAAATACAACTAGGGACTTTAAGAGGTGATATGACATATTTGATCTCTCTCAGATTTCCTATAATCTACTCTTACATCAACCAGGAGCACTTCAATATATAGTGATTAACGACAAAAAAATTGGGAAACGTTATAAAACGAACTGTTAAAATTATTATTGTTGTTCTATGAAAACTGGTATATGGGAATAATTCAGTGGTATTTTCAGGTATCAACTTTTGAAATCATTCAGATTGGAGCTTTAAAGTCTAAACTAAGCAACGTGTTTTTTTATAAAAGAAGTCAATAGTCTAATAAATTTTTGTCACTCAAGACATATTACTGCTTGCACGTCCTAATGTTCCACTATTTTATCCTATCCATTGTATTTTAGTGTTTTTATTTTTGTTACATATGTCGGATTGAACTGAGTTTCTACGCTGTCCTATTTATTTACAATGAATTACATCTGTTAGCGAGATATAGATTTGATTAAAGCGTATTCCGTGCAGGATTATGTTAGAGCACGCTGATTGGCCATTTCGTGATCAATCAGCGCTAGCGGGAACTTGGAGAAGACTCTAGAAATTATAAATATACTAACATTTTTCTCACTGTGATTCTTACTTCCACCCACCCTTGTTATTTGGAATATGATTGCGTCCCTGTTCAACCGTATTATGGTTTGGGGACTTGTCGAGTGAAGTAGTGTACAAGAATATTAAGCAATATGAGTAGCTCAGTCGGAATAAGAGGAACCATAACAACATCATGAACACATTTTTGAATGAATAAGTCAATCAATACAACTGAAGTTGAGTTCATGATTAAAAGAAAGAAGCCAAAAGACTACAAGTATATTTACTAGACATCCTGTCTGCATTGAGTGCATATCATAAAACGTTGTCTATATTTGAAAGAGTTGTAAAAACATTGAAAATATCCTTGAAATATGAGATGACGGTTAACTTGGGTGTTAGTGCATAGAAAGATAACAAAGAGGATACATTTCAATTTCCATCATTACTCATCAAGCTGACCCTCGTCGACAACCTGAATACTACTGAAGCTTTGAAATTATATTTCTGTTACTTAATTTAGATCTGCATATTCAATAATTTTGGCTGGAATGATTGATTTAATAGATAATATGGTAAATACATTACTCATGAAGATTGAAATACTTACAGAAGCGAATATTGATTACGGGTTATAAAGACGTATGATGCAGGTAGTTAGAAAAATAAAGCTTGTATGAACAAAACATAGTACATTATTTACCAGTTGTAATGTTAAACGCATTTACCTTAAAGATAAGGATTTTAATTCGACCTATATAATATTTTTTGCTAGTCTCATCCTTTTAAATATTGTTTCGAAAAATTACCAAAGCCTAGTCACTGATAATCAGTTGATTCTTAGATTGATGTCCTATTGTTCACATGAAAGTAGATCGATACAAATATTTAGCTAAAAACTCGTAAAAATAAAGTAAAATTGATAGGAACTGATAAAGAAATCAGTTAATTATTTCAAGATTTTAATATAACCATAGTGTTTGTGACGAATACCTTTGAAGAATATGTGCAATTATCGTCAATTAATATAAAATTGAGAGTTGCCAAAAACCCTAGAACGCTAGACACTCATTCACTACTAGATTGGGAATTTCTCAGGGATGAATATTCATAGTCTTTAATAAGTATCAAACCGTGAAGTCAGAATACACCGATCACTATTCCTAAATTTAGTCCATTCATCACATAGTATACCCATAATGTAGTGTAATCAATAAACAACTGTCGCACTCTTCAATTGGTTGACCCTACAAATACTACTTACCCATAAGAACTTTGGAAAGTCCACTTCAAAGCTAGTCACTACTAACGGCGATAAAAATTCCTTATCTGTTTAGATGTTATAAAATTCTACATTAATTTACTACGAAAATTATAAAATATGGATTGAAGAGCACAATTTCAAACTAATTAGAATAAACAAAATCACGAAACCATAAAATGTTAAAAAATTGAAAACAACTTTTACCTATAAAAATAAACATTATTTGTGAGTTGAGCTTATGCTCATAGTAAATTACAAATTATTGACTTATGGTTAAAACTAGATGACTATTGTGTATACAACAAAAAGAAATAACTAGAATAGAAGATAATAAAAAATCGGTTCTAACTAGAATTATCAACAGCGCTTGATATTATGGACCATTGATAAACATCTCTTAGAGGCTTTAATGCACAACACAACAGTTCAACAACAACATTTACAACATATACACAAGGAAATTACATTTAAAGTAGATGCATACATGCACACTAACAACATACATACAAACCATGGTGGTAGTAACTATAATCTCACCAATTAATACGATAATTAAAATAACTACTAGTACACCCAATACTGCTAGCATCTAAATCAGATTGAAAATATAAGAAACAATGAAAACAATTTTTACTAAGTAATCAATCACTGATAAGTAATTAATAAATAGGAGTCTCTGGTCAATGTTTCAGTTTTTTTTTAGAAAAAAGGAGATTGTTAAACCAAAGTAGGGGAATACAAAGATAGATTAGGTGTGTATTAAAACTAATTTAAGAATAAAGATGTTTTTGGAAATCAACTTAAAAACTGAATTTTAAACAAAATAAATGTTAGTGAAACTTTAATAAATCATAGCTATTATGAGAAAAGAAAAGTAGTGGTAGGAGACTGACTATTAACAGTCATACTGATTTGGAAATATTACATTTCATTCTCCTGACTGATGAAAATTACCAAAAATCTCAATGAATTTACTTTAAATCAAGTTTCGAATCCAGTTGTTGTAAAGAAAAGTTAGTTTGAATAAAATATTTTGATAAAACTGTTTTACAGTCTTTTTGTCATCCCCATTGTATTCTTTTACTAAAGTAGACAAGAATTCATAGGAATAGCTGACATTAAAGGGAACTAACTATTTTTGGTACATCTTTCAGCATAAGGCTAAACTTATAGGTTCGATAGCCAAACACTAGACATAAGTCGCATAAACATTGATATATTTCAATCCGGCATTTCCACACGATTTTTTGATGCTGACTTTACTTCAGATATTACTTTTGATCACTTTGAGTAGTTTTATGAGTTGAACTTCGTGTTTGTTTTGGATTATCTTTCTTAGTATGAAGGGGTTGTGATGATTGGTGAATTTTGAAGTGTTACATTATGAACTGACCTTAGATAACTACTGAAAACCGGAAAACACTGGGGAGCTGTTTTTTTAGTATGGGGTTAATTGAAAATGACCATTTACAACCCCATCAGCGACCAAACCCAGGATTCGGGTCTCGTGGCAAGCGCTTAAAATTAAATTATTGAGTTGTCATCTAGTGCTCCACATTTGTAACTTCAGTCATTCGCGATATTGTGCAACTACCATCCGATGATATTTGTTTCACGCTTAGCATGGTTGAACTCCACTAACTATGAGTCCTTCTTTAGATTATGTTGAAATAGTTTTAGACAGAAGCACAACTTCTGATAATACGAAAAACTCGAATTTTACAAATCTGATCAATTCTAAAGTGCGTAAAAGTCTGTTTTGGGATGCATTATTTTCTTTGTAAAATATTATGAGTAAATCTTTATCTGGTATTTTACCAATTAAAATAATCATTGCTATGTTGTAAGCTTTGTTGGCACTTAACAGTAAGTTCAGTTTTCTACAACTCCTATATCCCTTGATTGAAAGAAATCTTAAGTCAACAAGTGATATGTGTTACAATATTTGTTTTTGATTTGTCAATATGATGCTTGAATAACACCGCTATTTTATCACTATCTCATTTAGTATTAATTTTTCCCTAGTATTTCAAAGTGAAGCAGTAGCTCAGTGGTTAAGGTGTTTGACCTGCGGCCACTAAGTTGAACGTTCTGACCCCGATCTACCCGGATCAGGCAACCGGGTAGTCACTAGTTCTCCTGCGTAAACTATGGCTTAAAGCCAAGCGTATAAATCCGTACCTAGTAAATAATAACAGTAAAGTATTCCGGAAGACTTAGCGAATTTCGACATTTCATTTACATAATTGACTATAATTAAATTAATCCTCCCATACACATAGGATTCGATATTCCATTCCTTACTTCATTCATGTTATGTTCCGTTAACAAATAATAATTTATACAAATATCAATTAATATATTGTTTACAAAATGAAAGGAGAGAAATGTAGTGAATTAGTGAGTATGAATAAAGTATAACATAGGGATCTCAGTTGCAAACACCTTATGTACCAATCTACACTACTATCTACTTACTAACTGAGAATCAATTTAATTTTATTCTACGCAATAAATTTTACCATGACTATTTTTTTAAATAAAATATATTTAAAAACGTAAATTTAGTTTCCTTTTCCTCACTAAAACACTACAAACACACTATGTCACTTACTTTGCAATTTTTCCACCAAAATTTTCTCTTCAGTTTACCAGCACTAGCTTCGAATTGAGAAGCACCAGCTTGTAATGCATCTTAAGAAAATAAATTTGTAACAAAAAAGAAATGAGAGTACAATAACAACAATTGCTAAACGATAAAAGTAAAATCAGTCAGTAAATTAAATTTGTAGAACTAAAACAATCCCTGAAATATTGTCCATATGACTGCATAATTTTTACAGTTCCTAAGGTGCTATATGATTACAATCAGAACTGAACATTAATTGGTCACTAATGAATAGTAATAAATGTTATGTTATATTTTGTAGTCATCAATGCTATACCAATTTTTCTATCAATAAAAGACATAATCCGGTTAAAGGAACAAACAACTCAAAATTTTAGCCGATTCTCCAGAGATTGATTATCATATGAGTTGTTTAGGCTTATAGATCTGGTCTGCTAAAGTGTCAGTGAGTACAAAACGTGAAATTACGGTTCTCTGAACATTGCTTTCAATTACTTGATACCACTGTACTCCTGTAAAATAACACACTAAACATGAATTAATCGTTATGCTTACGTCCTATGGCCCGTTCAGTATCATGTGACAAAATTTCCAATCAGAAAACTGACTTATATGACCTTGTCTGTGCGCTAAATCAACGATGAGTTAACCAGCACGAGCAGCCTAGTGTCAACTCTGGGTCCTTATTGGTCCTCCGAGATAGTAGCTTCTCGCCTAACCCGGCCCGTTCAGTCCAGAACACAAATACCAACCTCCGCTATATGAATCGTATATTTTAGACACACATGGTTGATATACAAGCGAACCGGACCGCACCAAACTATAAAATGGAAAATAATAATTATACGAGATCGAGCCAGAAGTGGTTGTGAATGTAGGAGACTGTAACTAATAGATTGGGAATAACTTAAGAATAGTCAATCGTATAACAGTAGCCAATAAGTCAAATGAAAGCTTATGATAAGAGGAATATAAATAAACATATAATATAATTACTTAATAGTTATCCAATAAGAATATAAACAGTCCATAAATATTTCCTAGCAGAAACTATTCATTTATTCTTCGTTCGGGTATAACAGTAACCCACTCCATATAAATAGGCGTGACAATATAATGTCACTAAAATGGGTTAAGCCAACATCAAGCAACACGTTTCGCTAATAAATCTGAATGATCTACCTGCATGCCAGACAGTATTCTCATTCATTTTGAAAACAAACTTATCATTACTAATAAACATAGTAGCTTATGTGACAATTCAAGTAGCAAGTTCCTACCAGTAAGAATAATTTGGGCTAGTTAGTGGTTGTAGTTGGCGTCTAAGTTGATTGTATAAAAAACTATACCTTAACTCACTATTCACTAGGCATTTCCAAATTTGTATCATAAAATAAAAGGATGTGAAGATCTCTATAAGTGGATGTTATCTATTTTAGAATGTTATTATACAAAGACCTAATATTTATTTTACCTTATGCATTACAATATTAGTTAAATATAGTATATATCGTATTACAAAGGAATGATTCGTTTCAAAAAATCCCAAATTAATTAACTAAAGCATGAGAAAAATGAATAAATGTTTTGCTTTGAAGTTTGAAGGCTTAAAATTAAATGTTCATCGTCAATTAGTGTAAATTATCTGAACACGACAATTTCTTTATTAATTTGAAAGATTAAACTGTTCAATATGGCGTGAACTCAGTGAAATGACAAATCAGTAAACGAATATCGACAAACTTACATCAATTTCACTGTTAACAAGATATATGCTAAGCCATAAAGTGCATAATATTTAGGATAGTAGTGAACTCTCTCTCTCTCTCTCTACTATAATTATGAAATATATTTTAAAATGAGAATTAAAAGACCATAGATTAACAGTTAGCAAACCACTATTGTACCTTTACAGATTTATCTAACAAAACAACTTATGACATGAAATCATTTAGGAGAAAATGAGTCCACCAAATAGATAATTAAAAACGTTACAAATCAATACTGTTATTTTTATCAGACAATTACTTAATGCAAAACTATAATAATTATAACAATGAGACGCTTTACATTTGTTGAACTAAAAAGTGAAAATCTACACGAAAAATCACTAATCCAATATATATGAAACGATTAAATAAATCGTTTCACAGTGATTGACCAACACTGGGAAAATATTACCGCATCAAAAAAACACCCATTTTACAATAAGTATCAAATAATTTATTATAATAGCACAGAAATATGAATTAGTGATTTTTGAGAAACAAACGACTCAAGAAGACAAAGAAATATCAAGTTATTAGTTACTAAACTTTAAGATATAAGGCTTGGGGAATTCTTTTTATCGTCCAGAAGTAAAAAGTTGATAAGTTTATAATTGATTAGCTTTGATGTTAACCATTATAATTAACTTCGCTATTGTGATCCTACACATCGAGTACGCATAAGTATGACGCTTGTCACTTGGTAGATTAGAAAGTATTACGAGTCAACCGTTTAACACAAATATTTATCTCTGTCTACAGATGGATATCTCTCTTTTTTTGGAAACACAAACCAGTGACTAAACGACTAACAGAAATTCTTGTCATTACGTCAAGTCTCTGATAGGAAACTATGACCATCAGAATCACTGTCATTGTTTAAAAATGAATATTTCAGAACACTAACCATAATCATCATACAAAACAAACATATTACAATATAAATATCCTTGAAATACAATATTATATATAATTACTTCGCTTAATTAAATAACAAACGTATTATAATACCAATATCCTTGAAATATAACATTATATATAATTACTTAGCTTAATTAAATCAATAAGAAAAACTGCCGGATACTGAATGAGTGAACTACCTAATAGTAAAATATGAAAATGAAGAAGAGTTGATAAACAGTAATTAAGTATAAGGAGCTTGAATAAATATCATATAAAAGCTTTTCACTAGAATGACACCAAACTAAATGATCACATCCCAAAACCACTAAAGCACCGGAAATAGGAGACGAATATATATTCTAGTTACAAAGGATAGAAAAACAGGAGATAGAAAAAAGGTAGAAAAAACTATCCTAAACCTGCTACTTATTTATAACAGTTGGTTAGCCTGAGCTTTAGAATAAACTGTGTATTATTCTAATAACATTTATATATGCATGATGCCTAGTTCATAGAATAATGTCGAGACCATATTCACTAATCATTACCTTAAAAAATGATTCATTAATAAGGTACATAATTGATAATAAAACACCGAAGTGAACCTTATTTCAATAAACCTACATAATATATTCCATAAACTTTACTCATGAGAGACTGGGCTTGATCTGAATACTTGGAGAGAAGAAACACCTATATCCTATCAATTCATAAATGAATTGGTTCCATCTATAATCTTCATAGCTGTCATATACGTTTCAGCTGCAGCGCTTGTGAAGCACGAGGACTAGAGAAATAAAATATCAATTCAAGAAATAGTTTCCTAAATAAGATATAGGAAATGTATAATATTTTGAAATTTTACTACGTCTTACTGTACAGTAGAATTCTCAAAGGTCAAAAAACAAAACATGACAACTAAACCTTCACTAAATAATAAATAATTAGATGGATACTTGAATTATTACATTAATAGGAATACACTTAGTTCAACAATTTTTTACGTCGTTACGAACATACATTTAGCCAATAATAAGAACAAGATGAAGAGTAATTCATCACATGTTTTTGTCAGGAACATTCTTAAAACTGCAACCTTCGAGAAAAATACATCTCCAAGCTTAAAATCAAACATAAATAAACTTATCCCAAGAACAAAAATAACAAAACATCGATGTGTTGTATTTTTCAGAAATACTATGCACAAAACCTGGGTCGCCAGATACCAATCATGAATATAGCATATAGGTACTATGAAAATGTTGATTTCACCTTAATAGGCACACATAAATTTAAACGAAAACTTCCTGTTTTTTTAAAATATTTGGTAAATATTAGTTTAAATCACAAGCTTACATTTGGGATAAAGAGAAATATGTGTCAAACAGTCAGTACTAGAAACGGGAAAAGGATGGAAACTAAAAATAAACTATCAATAAGTTTAAACGATCTTCAATCACATAACAAACAATAATATTAGACCAAAGAAGTCGGAAAAAAGTAATTTATTCAGATTAGAATGTATAAATGGCACAGAACAAACTCCTGGCTTATCAAACTATTAGCAATGAATCTTGCGTATTAAAATTTTCCGAGTTAAATTGCAAAAACATCGATTTTTTATCACTGAAAAGAAATTTGTTCTTTGAAATAACATGTTCAGGTTTTTGTACACCCTAAAATTAAGGCGTACACTAATATAGTAAGTAAATACATTAGAATACATTAATGAAAGCACTCAAAAACTCTTAACCCTTACAAACTATGAGCTTAAATACTACATTTTGGAACAATGTAACGCCCATAGATCACTAAATACATACTGAACTTTCAAGTAAACTTTAACTAATAAGCTTTAGTCGATTAAAAATGACCCAGGACACCATAGTGATTTAGTTGATTAAGAATGTCCATGAATTTCTCATTTTGCAGAATTTGTCACTAAATAATTCAAAGGAACTTCTAACACGGAGTGAACAACTTACCTGTTTTTTTTCTTAGTAAGAAACAAAATCCATGTACATGTGCTAGATATGTTCTGTTTAATTGTGATCTATTATGCTAAGGGAGATATATATCAGGTTATCAAACACTTTAATTTTAATAAAAACCAGTAAACAGATACAGATTCGTGAAATTGAGTGTGAGAACTGATAGTGATATCCAATTGCTCAAATTCAATGACATAAGTGCCTAACACCTATAGTCTACTAAACATTAAGGTGATCAAAAAATAACGTATTTTTATGCATACACAACAAATAATTCAGTTCACAAATATTCACAAAACATGAATTCATAGTATCAAAATGTGTTCAGCAAAACTTAAAAAAGGATTGATTTGAAAAGATTCATAAAAATGTTTAAACTATTGAACACATTCTAACAAATGAAGAGAAAAAAAGCTCATGAACAATTAATTATACATGGTATTCCTACAGTAAAATTGACGACTAAAAGAAAATTAGAATATACTATAGTAATATGAATAGATTATTAAGATCTAACTGAATAATTAGTAAGACAGAAAATAATACTAATATAACCAAACAATTATGAATTCAATCATAGTAACAAATCAAACATTTTTTTACTTACCAGCTCGACCATCAAGTTCAGAAAGATTTTTATCTCTTTCTAATACTTTGTCAACATTAACTCTCATAATATCAACAACTTCATTAACTTGAGCTTGAGTTTGTTGTAGACGTTTATTTGTTTTAATTGGTGCTTTATCCGTCATAGCAGTAATATGAATATCATATATATATTTATATTAATGTCAATATTAATAATCCAAATAAAAATTAATAAATTCAAATGTTCTCAAATAATTAATCTTGATTGTATATATCTAAATCTTTGCTTAACATGAGCCTGAGATAACAACATTGAAGGTTAGAAATATATTTAAATGTCTGTCTCACTATCCATGTTTTCTATTAGCCTGGTAAAGAAAATACGAAATGAAATAGATAATGGTTTAGTTTACTTATGAGAAATGAGCCAATAAAGATAATCTAAAATATAATTAACAACATATTTAGAGAATCAGAAAAACATGCATGTGAACATAAGAGAGCAGGTGATAAAATACATTAAAGAAACTCATCATCTATATTGTTTATCTGATCAATTTCATTATATTTCTCCTACTTCTTAATACAGTTAGTTTAGAAGCTTATTAGATTTAACAGTTTTTCCAGGAAGTTGTAATCCCAATCAAAAGCTAAATGAATTGATATTGTAAAACATATCACTAATTGACATACTATGAGTTGACAGTTAAACACATACGTGCACAAATATCCAGTAGTTCTGACTTTACAAGAAAAAATTCACCTAGTTTTTAGATAAGATCGATTTATTATGAATTTGTGAGTTTATTACTTTTCATCCAATTATATGCTGTTTCAAACGATGATAGTGAGTTATATATATATATATATCCCTAATTGGATGCTGAAAAAAACATAAGAAAATTTTGAGTACTTGTAGCGAATAGAACACGAGTGGGGACAATCGAATGTATTTGACGCAAAATTACAGGACATGTTAATAAAATCTAACAATCATAAAGTAAATGCTTAATTTACAAAATGTTCATCAGTTGTTTCAAAATGACTCAGACTTCATTGTTCTTGCATTTTCATACACATTGCATTCTGTTCCCATTCTTTACTGTTCGTTCCTCTTGTCTCTCTGCTGCCAGACCTTCTGTTCACGACTAACATTATATACTACTTATGCCAATATAAGTAGCACACACCACATACTCATCGCTGCCTATAGGTGAGATGTGGCACAAAACTGTAAAGCCTTTAAGAGCAGCACTACAGAAAGCAATATTTTGTCGAAACCAACATTTGTTCTAGAAACTGAGTTTATTGAACTATCGTTGTTAAAAGCAATATCTTACTTATGTAGGATGTAATCCAGGTTATTTGTGACTTGAATTGTTGTACAATTTTAGAGAACTCATGGAATAGGGCATTCTGGCTTTAAAAGTGTATGTACAAAATGTTGGAGACATTATGTGTTCAGAGACATGTTCGAAAAAAATCATGATCTAAGGTATCCGTTGTAGAGTAAAATTGTTGTACAAACTCCCTAAATAACAAATATGTGTATGGCTACGGGAAATGAAGCCATAACTCGTTGATCTGAGTACAAAGTTTACACCACCAAGTCATGTTACATTTATACTACATGCAGTAGAATATTATACCAGAATACGAACTAATTAGCGCCAGTCTTGAACAGTAGTCCACAAACTTACATTTATTTACAACAACAGCAATCAGCCTTGTAGAAAGCCAGGTTTATCCATTTAAAACCTAAATTGAATGCATGTCGTTCCAAAATGGATAAATGTTGTCCGAAGCTGACCTTTTTCAGACACTTTCCCGCTTTTACTGCAATAAACATCGCATATTTATATTTTACGATATATGTGAAGCCCCTTTCAACTATCTCAATCAACAGAAACTTGTAACTTGACTAACTGACTTAGTCCTTCAGTAAACTCTATCCCCAACTTTAGTACTGTCGACTTGATTATTTTATCAACATCAAGAAGTGTGCCAAAAAAAGCCGGATATCTCACATAATCTATTTTCGAAAGTAATTACAATCACTGAGTGGAACTAAGCGTACAGCTGCACTACGTGTAGATTTCTAGAAGCTGAAAATAGCATAACAATGTTAGAGATTCGAAATTTATTATCACAACATTCGAGTACATATTTTACTCTTTGTAATATATACATACGTGTTTTGTGGAAGTGTTTTTCAAATAAAATTAAATAATTTCATACGAATTTTCTCTTTCATAAAGTTTGACAAAGTAAGAACAACAGTCAAAATCCCATTCCATCTACAATCCAACGGTCAAGTAGAACGTTTTATTGAGACATATAAAAATGCTCTGCAAAAATTAATAGTGGAGGGGACCATCAAAGAGATTATATAGAGGTTCTTGTTCACCTATCATTTTCCACCAATTCTGTCCGGCAGAGGATTTACTTAACAGGAAAATACGAACACATTTCGATGCCATTGGTCTGATGCCAGCTGTCGAGTTTCACCGAAACGGATAGATGGAGAAGCAATTCAATCGACATCATTGAACACAAAGACGATTGTTCAATATAGATCAAAAAGCACTTGCTATGGACTATCGCAGCAAACATCTTACATGGATAGCTGGTCGAATAATGAAGAAAAAAGGAAGTGTGGTTTACGAGGTGTCAGTTGCCTCAAACGTTCTGGGTGCGTCATGCTAACCAACCAAAAGCAACTTTGATCACAAGCAATGGGAACCAATATAGAGTACCTCCTGATGTTCTGCTGGACACCTTTGAAATCGGAACCTTTGGAACAGACAGGTCAGTCTCTGTGGAAGCAAAGAGCAATATCACCACTTTATTGCCTAGAAGGTAGACAAATAGGAAGCACAGACCAGTCACACGGTTGCAAACGGACCCTAACACCAGACCTTATGAATCTGCTCAAATGGGAGGTGTTTGCGGGATACGCATTGGATTCTGTTGAGACACATTGATTAGCCATTTTTTAGCCAATCGATGCTAAGATACCTCCCCATGAGGCCGTAAACCAGAAATGCTTGGTAGACCAAATATTTACCCTAAACCCTTGCACAAGAGCTAATATCCATTCGTCATGGAAGCTCCAACCCGAACTCCATTAAATAAAATGATTTACGTGAGAAGATTCGTTATAGATGTCGAAATTTGGTCACTTCAGTGGAGAGACTAATTTATGGACGAAACGCCCAGATTTAAGAAAGTGAGATAGGGACTAGCCCCTTGCATGCAGTACTTAAGTTTAGGACGCAAGAACACTGTACGCAAAGTCAAAAAGGTTTTGGCGTCGACATGAATAAAGGCCCTACGTATTGACGATAAAGTTTTAGGACCTTTGGCGGCTTATTACACGGCAATGTGCAGTAGTCTTTAGGTTTTGGCTAACGATGACTTCTAGGTCATTGAGTGTCTGGACAACAGATAGCTCAGTGTTGTCATGTATGCATCTGTACCTTGATGACCGATATGCATCAAAACAGCTAGTTGTGCGGAACTCTGTCAAAAGCTATGGTGAAGTCAATATTAGCTACGCCTATAGGTAACTTTTGGTCTTTAAGAGAGCACTAGCTTTCGCGAGCCACTAGTAAGTTAGTAAGACAGGAATAACCTATTCTAAAGCCATGATGCTTTTCCAAAAAGATCCTATTCTCATCGAGATATTTAAACAGCTCCTCCCTAATAATCTTTTGTAAGATTTTACGCCCACACTAGTTAGGCTAACAGGTAGAAAATTCTCAGATTTATGTTTCGTACCTGTTTTAAGACAGGACTGAGTACGGCATCCTTTCGAACTTTTGGTAAACGACCCTCGAATAGCCTACCTCAATAAAAAAACAATTGAGCAAATTTGGAATTTAATAAACGTAGTACAACCGAGTAACCTCACAACGTCAAGAAATTGGGTAAGAAACCAAAGCCGACGGTTTTTCAAAAATTTACTTTTTATTAAAGAGGAAGAATGTATTTGTAGATCAATAACATAATCGATAATTTGTTTGATTATATTTTACTTGAAAAAGCTTGGACCAGTATTGCCAGGCGAAACGTTGAATCTAGTCCAAATTCTTTCGCTGAGATTTTACAAATACATTTTTCCTCTTTAATTACTCAAATTACCTCGACGCCCAAACGCTGTGAAACTATTCGTTCAAATTTAGACGAAAGTTTTTACTTTTACATTCTATTGTTGAGATCTCATGCCCTATTAAAATAGGACGTTAAATCAAGATGAACGAATCACTGTGATGCTTTATAAATGAAGCGAGAAGCTTATAACAAGTTGGAAAAAACAGTTTACGCAAGAAGGAACATCGAGAAGCAAATCGATGTAAACACCTCAAAAAAGAAATACCGTAACAGTCAAAAACTCCAACCCTTGCAATTTATTTTCAATATCCATAGAATATGGATACCGAACGATATAATCTTCCCTCTATGTCTTAAAAAATTGTAAACCCTCTAATGTTCGACCGCATACATGTCTTTCTATTATCCTTAAATTTCTTTTCAACTCAGTAGCACGGTTTCAGAAAAGTCACTCATGTATAACCAACCTGCTGACGGCGGTGGACAGAAAGACAACCATCCTTCATCGCAAGGGGAAGGTTGACGTCATTTATCTTGACTTCTTAAAAACTTTTAGTAGGGTCATTTACATCCATCTTATCAATAATCTCAAACTATTAAGTGTCAAATAACCTTAATTTGATTGGCTCACCTTATATCTACAAAATCGACATTTTAAGGTCAGCGTTAACTTCAAATTCTCTCGGTCGATGGAGTGTTACAGTGGGATCTCATGAGGTTCACTACTAGGGCCTCTTCCTTTCTTCATTTATATGAACGATCTTCAACAGCAGATGACGTCAGATTTATTACTTTCGCTGGTGACGTGCAACTCTAGAGAGACGTACACATCCAAGAGGATAAACTGGCACTTCAGGGCGATCTGAATGGACTTAAAAGTTGGGCAGATGACAACAAGCCTAACTTTAACACTCCAAGGTTTAAATGAGTCCATCTGTGACATGCTGAGGACTACAGCTACAACTAAAGTAACTCCCCTCTAGAGGTGTCTTAAGTTGAAAAAGATCTAAGAGTGTTGGTACCCTATGATTTAAAGTCTTACGGTAACTTCGACGAGAGTGTCTTTCGAGCTTACCTTGAACTGATAACTTTGAAACACATTTTCGGACAGTTCGACAGGAGAACTTTCCACACAATCTTCAACGGTTTTATTCTTCATGATTTAGAGTACGGAAACGTAGTATTTCCTCCCTCGCTCCAAAAGGATAAGCACACTCCCAATCGTATCCAACGGCGAGCCAAGTATTCAGTTCGGA